CTGATAAAAATTTCACCAACATTCAATGAACCTTTGTGAAACTAGGCGCATTTTACTAAAGACATGGGTGGCATGACAAATCGCTGGTAAACAATGTGTTCCTCACAATTGAGTCTGGAATCGATACATAGGCCTGAAAATTATAGCACAGGATATCCAATTAATATACAGCATTCTCTAAAATTTTCAGACTTATTTCACTTACTGGAGGGAAATGGCACTATGCTAATTGGGTAGATGTTGTCACAGATCTAAGTATTAGAATACTCAAGAAAATGGCCTCATATTTGGAGCATATAGGCAGCATATCTACAGACACAACTCTATCGAAAAAGAATCATAAGATTCACAAGGTAACATTGAAAATGAGAGATGAATTTTTTTAGTCATTTCCTTGACTGAAGGGAGGGTCATACGGAAAAAAATCAAAACACGTATGTATGTTTGTAGACAGGGTCAAAAGAACATCCACGATCAAGTTTTCGTAGACGTGCACCAAAGCAAATCGAGGTCGAAGAATGCGAATCTGAAGTCAGCTGTTCAATAACTCAAATACTTATTTGCATGAAAAAACCATAATTTTCCCTCTAAATTATTGTCTACAGAAAAAGCCAATTTTTTTGAGAAAAAGCCATCTGGAAAAAGGGAAACTCGAAATAGGGAAAATCCTTCTGCGTATTTGGAATCTGTGATTGCTGTTTAGTTTCGGTAGTCTCTTCACAGTATCGTTGTAGGCGTGAATCGGAATGTGACCTAATGGTGTGGGTGTTTCAGTAAGTCTTAGTGTGATGAAATACTGTTTACACATCATTGGCACTCAGTGTAATGCGTGAGACATGGAGCGATTCCTGTTTATTGATAATGGTTTTTGAGTTAAATAGCTTTTATCCGTGCACTCTGCTTAAGTCTAGAGAAGTAGCATTAAAAGAATGTTGTAAGTGAAGTTACAGCCAATAGGATAATTGCAAAATAACCAATGATTGTTTTAATGTATTCCAATAACGCAACAAGTGACTATGAGCAAGGCTTGAGAGAAGTGCTGGCGAACGACTGGTCGCTAAAATTGCAAACGTATTCTAATGTTGCTTAACAAAAGATCTGGATGAAACCTGTATTCATCAAGAATAACCAACTAAGATTCTCCAAATCAGAAGCCCTAATAAAATTCTACCACATTGGCTAAACAATTGGGTTACAGAAATCATGAATAAATAATAGGAAATTGTTGGTCCGTAGAGGCTTATCTGAGGCGATGACGTTATAAAACTAATTTTCTAAGTAAGAGCAATCTGGCTTTTAATAAGGTTTAAGTGAAAAGAATTATCTCATTCAAGAAGAACATCAGAGGTTGCAGCAGCTAGTCGCTCGTTGGTGCCCCTCCAGGACGCCACTCGCGGCTAGCTGCTGCACTGCAAAGTTGCTTTATGAAGGACGTTAAATTATAAGGATTTAACAAAAGAATGTGAAGAAGTTAGATCTGATGGGTTTCAAAAGGGACTCAAAGTGATAAAAAAAGGAGAAATATTTTCGTATGTATTATAAGACCAATTTTTCTCGAAGAATAAAATAAATATAGTGACCTTGTATGGATGGAAAACATCATTAAAACAATTAAATTCGTTCTATCGAAAACGAACTTGAGTGGAAAAGAATTAGTTTTTCTGTTCGTACATATTTTTGTGGATTTGGAATGTGCATTTACTGAAGTAGATGATCCGCTAAAACAGTGTATGTCGTTTTCGATTTTTCATAAATGTATGAAAAAGAAGAGAATAATTGGAAATTGTGTGATTGTGTGATTGTTTCCGTCTTATGAAAATATTTATCAATTAAGTGAGTTAATTGTTGTTACTATGGAATGGTTTTTGGCTGTTTATCACTTAAATGTACAGGATAAGAGTGAATACGCTACTGAATTTAGTCGTGTTTGATACTTATAAGAAAGGTTTTTTCGTGTGTTTAAACCTATCATCTGAGGAAATATATACATGGATAGGCGTAGGTCTCAAACTGGGACCTGGCATTAATTTGTCATATGCTATTATTACTATTGTGAAAAGTGATACTTCTAAGCTGGTACATTTTCGAGAATTCAGATATGTGCAATGTCTAGCTACTGTGATTCGAAGAAAATAGTTTTGAAAAGATATATGTGAACGATGTCATAGTTTTTGTATTACATGGACAATAAGAGCCTGTCGTTCCAGTGCACTTATGTAAAAAGAGAACTTAGACGTGGCTGGTGCCCCAAAGGGATGCCAATGAATTGCTAATCGTTAACATTGCAAGTATACTGCACACTGACGTTACAAAAGATCTTTGTATCAGCTCGATATTTTGTGAAGAAGAGTGCACTAAGATTTTCTTAATGAGAACTTCAAAGAAAACTCTGATTTCTCAGCTATACAATCAAAATGCGGAAATGAGAAATAATTCATGAGAAAACTTCTGTTTGAAAATGTTTGTCGATAATTCTAACGCTTCAGATCTAACGAATTTTTGAAATAGTTAATTCTGGGACAGATGGAATTTGAATACAGAGGGAAAGTGTTATGAAAAGATGGGATTAAGCCTGACAGTAGCTAGTAACGAGTGGCACCCCAAAGGGGCACCGAGGAGCGACTAGCTGCTGCACTGGGTTATCTCCAGAAGTGCCGCTTCAAAGTGTTGGAATTCATTCAACAAACGTCAATAGTCGAGGTCAAGTGGGTCTGAATAAGGTGTATCAGATGCAAAAAGCTGAAAAAACTATATCAAGTCAAGGATGAGAAACGGTTTTATGTTTGGACAAAACAGCTGAATAATTCGTTAGACGAAAAACATTACTGAAAGAATTTATATTTTCTGTATCAGTAGTGGACATGAATGAAGTAAAAGAGTGTTTATTTTGGTATATGTTTTTCTTTGTAGTAATTCAAGTATCTGAATGTATATTGCTATATTAAAATTACTTGTCCAGTCTTATCACTACTTTGAATAAGAGCTTGTTGTTTGTATGATATTTCGATTAGAGATCAGATATAATATGATTTATATTAAGCTAGGGGTTCCACTGAGCTCCTGCTTTTCTAGAGAACTCTATAGTAAACAGGATTATTTACGAATGTTCTAGAATGTATACAAATTTCTGGTAGAATTTTCAAAGAGTACTCTGCATTTTCGTATAACTGTTGTGAACTTCTATTGGTACATATTCTCTGAAAAAATTGAATATGATATCTTGTTCAGTCGAAGCGACGAGCGTTACTTGTTTTTTTTAGTAAAAAAACCGTTTTCTGTTATTGCTCTACGCTCTTGAGAAAATATCTTGAAGAGAGGTTGTTTTGCTTATTTATAAGACTTAATGGTTATTTACTCATCGGGATCGTGTCTGTCAACGATCTTCTGAGAGTTTTCGTGGTGATGATGAATCGGCACAAATATCATAGTGAGAATTAGAGCGATTGTACATGTATAGTTGTCACAAGGATTAAATGCTCAAGCATAATCATAATGATGTCTATTAGCAGAAAAAATGACTGAGAAAGTCCATCTCTCATTTTCAGTGTTACTTTGCGAATTTTATGATTCTTTTTTGATAGAATTTTGTCTGTAGATATGCTGTTTATATGCTCAAAATATGGGGTCATTTGCTTGAGTATTCGAATACCTAGATCTGTAACAACATCTACCTATTTATCATAGTGCCGTTTCCCTCCGGTAAGTGAAATAAGTCTGAAAATTTTAGAGAATGCTGTATATTAATCGGATATTCTACACGGGTGTGAGTAGGTGTGGATGTGGGTGTGCCTGTGAGTGTTCTACTCCTGTTAACTCTTACCCAATACAGCACCCACCACACACCCTTTATATTGATCTGTCGAAAATCAGCAATCAATCGCGATGAAGCATCCACAATAAAACAATTTTAAGAACATGGATCAATATTATGTGATATAGAAATGAAGGAATACCTTGTTCAGATGTTTCTAGCTATAGAATAGTTGTGTTCGCCGAACAATATTGCAAAAAAACACCTAATTTTCTCTTAATCACAAACGAATCATTATACATTTTTGTTGACTTTTTTCTAGTTGTCTTGGTCGACCCAGTTCGCCATCGATCATTTGTTGTCTTATTCGTTTGTTCAAGTCAGTATCAGTCCCATAATTGGAATGAGCAAGCCATATCGCCGTGCAGTTTTGGTGCACAAATCATATGACTCTCCGGAACCATACCGTCCAGCTACTGTCGAATCAATAGAATTTCCTGAAGATCGATATGTGAGTACAGTAATAAACACGACACTTGTCAAAGTGTCCAAAACTGTGTTTTATCTACTTTTAAGTTGGAAACTCCATCACCGTCCTTTGTTCCACAGAAAAGAAGACTTATAAAAGTACAAAGGCATGAGTTGACCGAAATACCATCAAGCACAGAGTACACTTTTGATTTTTCTCCAGGAGTAATGCATCTAAATGTTCTATTATGATTGTAGATGGGCAACCGGAAAGAAGGTCTGCGTAGGTGTTTAAATAACCATTGGATGCATGGCAGTTCTCACTGGCATTGTTCTGGCCGTCGTGTTCGCACGACCAGGTAAGATTGTACAACTAGTTTATTACAATTTACTCATTTCTGTAAAATACAGAATATAAAATCCTTATTTAATGAAAACAGGAAGCAAAGACAGAATGGTAACGAATTTGATTTTCGACACGCAACAATATACGAAAACATACTTGCAGTCTTCTTGAAAAATTCTTCCTATTGTTAGTTGATATTTTAAAAACAGATATAGCTATCATCGGTATATCCATAAGGCAAAATCGCGAATGAACAATGATAGTTCCGAGTATTCGGTGAAAAATTATTAATATCTTTTCTTTTCTATAAAGAGAACAAACGTATCATGTTCAAGTATTTTCTGAGAGGCTTCAGCTCGTTATTGATGACAAAGGAAAGATTTTTTTTAGTATGGGAGCATTGAGCGCCCTCTATATTTATGTGAGAGAACAGAAATGTATGAAGAGAAACTTTTTCTAGGATCAACATCAAGTGTAACAACGACTGCCACTACATCATCCATCACTGTATTGTGGACGTTTGATTCTACTACGAGTGATTTTTATGGCAATTACAATGGTAGCTTGATTAATGGAGCCACATACACACCGGTGTCACAAACTCAACCCTATATAGGGAATGGACAAGCACTCTTTCTAAATAATTCCGTGTCACTAGCAACAAATCAGTCATTTGTAGTACAAGCATTTCTCAATTTATCCTATCAAAGTTTTACAATTGAAGCATGGGTATATGCTTTTACTGCTCCTACTGGTGATAATCCCATATTGAGTCAATGCCAGTGCGCAAACTGTGCAGATCAATGTTTATCTTTAATCATTCGATCTGGACATCTATATATGAGCTTTACATTAAACGATTTGATTGGTACAACAACAATGTCAATTAACACTTGGTATCATGTTGCCTTTGTTTATAATTACGCAACATCACAACAAATAATATATCTCAATGGTATACAAGAAGCTATCAAATCATCAGCTTCACCATATCAAGGTGGCAACGGAACAATACAAATTGGAGTAGCACAAGTCCCTACACAAACATCATTTTTCAATGGTTATATTGATCATGTGAGAATCACAACACGTGCAAAAGGAGCAACAGAAATTCTGAATAGCGCAACCCTAATGGCCCACTATTCATTTGATTTGCCCGATCAAACTGCTGATAGTGGTCCAAATGGTTTGACTGGTATTATAAATAATGCAGCTCTTGTTTCTGGACGTGTCAATCAAGGACTGAGTTTCAGTGGTACTGGTTCCTATTTTCAGGCATATGGTTTTTATCAATTAGCTTGGGGTGTTCTTGGAAATAAACCATTCACTATTGCAATGTGGGTTAATCCAGCATCAACCAGAGGTTCAACATTGATACAAGTATCGCCATCCCAGAATAGCACTTTAGGTACAATATACATCATGAATCTAATCGGTTTTGTGTCGTCCGGTGGTGCAAGCCATGGGCAAATAGCTACACAGCTTTATGCATGGCCTACAGTCTTTGGACCATTTTTGTCGGTCAACACATGGTCTCATATTGCATTCACATTTAGTTCTACAAATGGTAACACACAATATATTAACGGCGTTGCAGTCGGTTCAACAGGTGCAGTAACTTCCAGTAATGTTTATGGCACCATTATGTGGTTACACATCGGCTATGCCTTTTGCTGGAGTAGTGCTTATATTCCGTGCTCTGGTTATCAAGGCTCAGTTGATGAAGTTTATATTTACAATCGAGAACTGAGTCAATCAGAAATCTCAGCACTTGCAAATCCATAAACTATGCTGTTTAGCATGCAACAATAAAAAATAGCATACAGTTCCTTTCTTATTCCATTTTTTAATGATGTAAGCTTCGTGTTTGCCTCACATAATTCGAATGCTTTCTTTCAGAGAGTGAATGATTGAAATAAATGATTAGATTATCCGACGATCTGCCACGTACCTAATTACTGTTATAATATTCGCCACAGATGAAATTTCTGTTGCGCTTTTAGTCAAACATATAAGGTTCCCTGGCATTTTCAAAAAATTATACCCATGAGGTAAATTTCTGTGCAAAGAATGCGTTCTCAAAACGCGTTGCTCCAACTGTGGTGTCCTATATTCTAGATGCAAAAAAAATGAAAACCGTTAACTACTTCATGCAACTTGAATTGCAGATACAATTTATGTACTCCTTTACATGTTTTCATAAGCCTTTAGACCTATAACTTAGATGAATTTTGATACAGACAACATATGGATTCGAACATGAGAACGTAATACCAGAAAACATGTGTACAAGACGTAGGATATCTTAGGTCAGGATTCGAATATTTCCCGGTACGATTCGTTCCAAACACCTTTCCAACAAAGCCAAACTAGTTTCCAGGCATAACAAAACATGCTCCATCAGACTCCATTGCCAAATCCAAAACAAAACATCTACAACATACCCTAAATCGCCAATTACATAAAAAAAACATGCGAAAAAGAGGACTACCCCCGTAGGAACTGTCGCGATTCGCTCTAAACACCTTTCCAACCCTGCGATTCACATTTCCAAGTAGATCTTGGCAAGCTCTATCCAATGCATACCTTTTGAGCTGGACTCCCTGCATTCTTGACTTATATCTCTGCCAATTAGGACTCGGATCCCAATGTACTTCGTAAAACCTGTCGCGATTCGCTCCAAATACCTCTCCAACTGTGAGAATCCTCTTTCCAAGTAGATCTCGGCAAGCTCTATCGAAAGTATATCTTTTCAGCGCCATTCCATGCTTCCTTAGTCTGGAAAACAGCTAAACCTGACCCCGATAGTAATGCATTTTGCCAAAACCAGTCGCGATTCTCACCTAGACTTTTCCAACTCTCTGAATAATCTTTCCAAGTAGATCTCGACGAGCTCTATCCTATGCATATCTTTCGAGTTCGATTCGCTGATTCGTTGGCCTAGGAATCAGCCAAGGCAGACCCCTATCCTAATGCCGGTGTGGACGTGGACGTGGCTAGAGATAAGATAGACACTCATGCCCACACCCACACCCATATCCACACCTACAGTTCACACCCACACCCACACCCACATAACACCTGCACCCGCACCCACACCCCACACCCGTACCCACATGTACGCCCTGAACCGAATCACAGATATCTGAGGTAGCAAAAATATTGTCAGAAGCGGAGCTTGGCTAAAACCCACGAGGCTTCAGCAAAATGATGTGTTTTCTGAGACGTTCGACGATTTTCCTTATGAAAGAAGAATGGACGCAAGCATGAAAACAATGAAAAAGATGAAGGTGGTCGAGATCTATGTGTAAGGGTCGACCACTGAGTTAGAAAGGTCGCGGAGCAGACTCGCGACATGTTTCACAAAAATTGTCAGGCTCTGACTTCCATTGATCGCATTTTCAATGAAAGAAGCAGAAAATCGGGCTAAAAAGGCATACATTGGATAGAGCTTCTCACGATCCAGTTGAAAGGTTGATTCTCAGAGTTGGAAAGGTCTTGGGAGCGAATCGCGATGGGTTTTGGCAAAATGCATTAGTATCGGGGTCAGGTTTAGCTGTTTTCCAGACTAAGGAAGCATGGAATCGAGCTGAAAAGGTATACATTCGATAGAACTTGCCGAGATCTATTTGGAAAGAGGATTCTCACAGTTGGAGAGGTCTTTGGAGCGAATCGCGACAGGTTTTACGAAGTACATTGGGATCCGCATCCTGATTGGCTCAGATATAAGACAAGAATGCAGGGAGTGCAGCTCAAAAGGTATGCATAGGATAGAGCTTGTCAAGATCTACGTGGAAATGTGAATCGCAGGGTTGGAAAGGTGTTTGGGACGAATCGCAACAGTTTTTACGGGCGTAGTCCGCTTTTTCGCATGTTTTTTTATGTAATTGACGCTTTAGGGTATGTTGTAGATGTTTTGTTTTGGATTTGACGATGGAGCCTGATAGAGCATGCTTTGTTGTGCCTGGGAACTAGTTTGGCTTTGTTGGAAAGGTGTTTGGAACGAATCGTACCGGGAAATATCCGAATCCTGACCTAAGATATCCTACGTGTGCACAAGCCGTTTAACTAAAATAAGCTAATGATATAGATGTTTATTGTACAGTGTCATTAGTCACTATCAAGCACTCGAAATATGAATTCACACTAATAATTATTCAAATTATAAATAACGTAAAAATCTTTGTTCAAAAATAATCAAGTAGAGTTGCCGTACTCGTTATATTAGCATCAGTCTTCATCAAATATTTTCGTATTGTTGAATATTTAAACAATTCTTCGGTGAATGTTATGAAACGTGTTTTTAATAAAAAAAGTAGTGAAATGAATGTTCGAGAGACAAGAACATATTTTTGTTACGCTGTGTTGTTCAATATTAGTCTAACTTCGAATCCTATTTAGATAACGGTCTATCAGCTTAAACTTTTAGAAGGATTCGATTTCAATCTTGTTTTCAGAAAGTCTGAAACATGATTTTTATGTTCAAAAACAGTGCAAGGAGCGAAATTTTCAAATGTAATTGCATGTTATTTCCAAAATAATGTCAGAAACTTAGCTTTACTTAGTTCACATGCTTTTAAAACATGAATTAGTGCGAGATTCTGTATACAAACCGGACGTATTTTGTATCATTCCAAGCAAAAACAATGCAAAACGTATTCGAAAAAGAAACGCATTCCACATTTCCTCCAATTCATATCTCTGAAACGCAATCTCGAAAAAAGCATTCCGAATCGTTTCAAAAAATGGCGGTATCAAAACGCATTCTATCCAAGTAAAAATGCTGCGAAACGCGTTATAAAGTGCGTTTCCTTCAATATTTTGCTCTATGGGTCATGACAGAAATTTATATTTGTATTGCATGTGCGTTAAATTAAAGAAAATTTTTTATTGTAATTGCTTTTTATGTCCGAATTAAATAAATGTAACACTAATGCGAATAGTAGTTCATAGAAATAAACTGAGAATTACCAGTCTTCATTGTTCGAAATGAAAAGCAAGAAAGTGAGAATACATGCTCAAGTTGAATGAGAATTGTTTTCATCAATCATGAAAGTTTTTGCTTCACATTTTAGGCAAGAAATTTGTCGAAACTATCTCTCCTCAGTTCGATCTAAAACTTGTTCCGGTTGTGAGATTTTGATGAACCTACTATGATACTAAATAGCATTTTGATTTTGTTAAGAACTTACCAAATGGTAAGTTTGTTTTGCTATGAGTAGATCCAGTCTGATTGTTCATGATAACCGTCTCGTTTTATTCACTCAATACATGATCAAGCAGCCTCGTTTTCATATGGCTGGATAGCTATTTTGAAGGGTTTCAAAATGGTATCAAAATATCAATGAATAAAAACTGAGCAGCACCATTTGATTTGAAGAATATTAGACCTCATAGTCATAAAATATCTGAACAAACGATGATAATTACTGAAAGTTCTCATCATTATGAACAAACTGTATTGAGCGCAACGCTAGTTAACACTGGCTCAACCAAGAAATATTAACCGCACTGCTGAAGAGTCAGGATTTTGAGCTGTTTTCCACCAGAAAAGTGCCGTTCAATTGAAAAATAGTAAATGTTATAGATAATAATAAGATATTTTGAATCAGCATCGAAAACTGAGGAGATCTAATTTAGTTTCGATCTCGTTAGTTGACATTCATTCTTTTCAAGGGTGGGTGTAGACGAAGGGTGTTAGTATGGGTGAGAGGGTATAGCTATTTACTTCGTCAAAAACCACAACTACACTTGCATCCGCATCGGTACCTACACCCACACTCTACAATCATTTAAGATGATTTAATGCGATTTAGAATGATTTGATGTGAGCTATAGTGATTTATTTGATTAAATGTGAGTTACGCTGATTTATCTGAGCTAGTTTAGATCTTAGCTGATTTAAATCAGTTGTTTTCTCCTTGTATTTTCAATAGGCTAATACTACCTGATTCGAACTCTAGGCGACACGAACATTTTTCTTTTTTCCAATCACAGGGGTGCCGCGAAGTCAGAAAAATTGGGGTAGGGGGTTGACACTATAGAAAGTCGTTATAAAGTTTTTCCGAAAGATGACAGAACTTTGGGAGGGAGGGGTTACAAGCTGTTTATTTGGAAATTGTTGAGCAAAAAAACGAAAATTTTTCATGATTGGAGGATCACTCTCACCCCCCGCTGTGGCGACAACCCTGTCCAGCCATCATCATCATTTCTTCAAAGCAGCTTGCTATTGATGTTCTTCATTTTTCTCTTCCTTTTTCATATGTCTATCAGGCTACATATATATATATATGGTTGGAGTCGTTACTAATAGAATCATTTTTCTTTCTTTCAACAACCGTCATCAGTTCTCCGAAGCGCATTTCTACTGATGTTTTTCATTTTTCCGTTGCTGTTTCACAGTTCTGCTACGCTACAGATATATATATATATAGTTTGAGTCGTTTCCAACAGAATCATTTTTCTTTCTTCCAACAACCATCATCATTTTTCCGAGGCACTTTTCTGCTGGTGTTTTTTTTTTAATTTTTCTGCTGCGCTTTTATGTTGCTGCAAGGCTACATATATGTCACAGCAAAATTAAGCATTAGGCAAAATTAAACTTAGACAAAATTGATTTGATATTAGGCACAAAATTTTAGCTGTATTTTTTAAATTAGAAATAACTCTTAGTTATTGTTTACATTTAGAAACTTCAGCAGATTTATCGACTATTTTATTAATGAATATATCAATAATTTTTGTGCAAATATGACATACGATACATTTTCTACGTTAAAGTAGTG